TTCCACTACTTGGCCTGGACCGTGACGCTGCTGCTGGGGGCGACAGAGTCGTCGACCCATTCGAGCGGAACCTCCACCGAGGACGCAAAATGGTGACGCTAAATGACTGTAAATGTGTTCTAAGAAATTCAACAGATTCTAGGATGCTGCGCACACATTTGTCCTTTCGCGTGCCTTTTGCGAGAAGTTTGGCAGGAATTGAAAACAACAAAAGCACGTGTATTCTTTCTTCTGGACATCGTGGGATCGCGCCTGCTTGACTGAAGGTTGACTCATGTCACCTCTTTTTCAGTCGAGTGCAGTCGCTGGCCAGGTCTGGAGCTGTTTCGCGCCCCACCCCGCACAGAAGGACATATCCGTCTGCTAATATCTTTCTGCTGGATTGAGGTGTACAGCGAAAGGGGTATACTGGGGACAAGGGGGTCGGATAAAACAATTATTTTCGCAAACAGTGGCGAGCGGTACAGGCATGCGACTCATCAGTGACACAACGTTCACTGACCATCCACATAATCAAGATCAAGGTTGGTGAGTTTCCAAAAGAATTAAAAGGCATATTTAGTCCGAAGTCGTCGAGACTTTGGGGAGAAAGTGGCCAACGATCCCTTAAATGAGGAACACTCGTCTTGCAGTGGGCCCTCTCTCGCGAAAACGTTTCTCCGGCTTTTGTACGTGGAAGCATGGACGTTCTGGGTTTGCAAGAACTCTGTGAGGGGCAAACCAAACAGCTCAGGGTTTTGTCAGCTCTGCGTCACTAGTGGGTTCGCGGTTGACAAAGTTTAACGCCAACCCTCCAAACAAAGGCAAAACTTGGCTACTGAACTACTGGGCTTCTCTTAGTCCTCAGGGCGTCCTACAGTTGCCAATGCAGCCAAACGCTGTTCATGTTTTGGGGCTTTCACGCATCCTCATCTGCATTTTCTGATCCTGTGCGAGCTATGAAGACCCTAGCTGCTAGCTGATAGAATGCGCTTTGCCTGTCCCTGACCTAGTTATCCAACATTCAATTGTAGCCGAATGTGTGTGCAAATGAACTCATATATATATATATACATGTATCATAATGTCATTGCTTAGCCTGGGGCAACTGTATAACCTGAATACCTGATGCGATCACCTGTGAATGCTAAACCGGCAGTGTAGCACACCTTTTGTCTGGGGCCGATGTTGTAGGCTCAAGGCCTTGATGTGTGCATTTGTAGCGGGCGCTACATGTACTGCAAGCTGCACAAGGGTTGTCAAGGCATGTTACATATTAACACGCCTCCTCAAATTGCACTGTGACCAGTACACTTTGCAACGTGCAAAAAAATGTTGCTCGGGATGATGTACGACGAACTGCGTGAACTGATCGCCAGGTATGCAGATGTACTGCGCAACGTGTCCCTCGTGGTCGGCTCAATTGTACCATGTTGTCCGCAGTGCCATTGTGGCAGATGTACCTTCCTGTGGAAGCAGCGTCGTGCCCTGCTTGACCGCTGTGACTGTGATGAACTCGGTTTAGATCTTGTGCTTGTTAGCAGCGTAATGCGTGCAACAGAAATGCTGTTCCCTGATGTAGCCAAGGTGACCTTTGTGGCCGGGATCGCATCTGACAAACTTTGTTAGTGTGTCTGCTGGGTTGTCTTCTGACTTGACCTTGTGCGTTGTGATGGTTTTGTTCTTGACGAGCTGCTGTGCGTAGAGGTGTCCCAGCTCCATGTGTTTTGCTTTCTTTGATGCGCCTTCTCTAACTGTGACCGACTTAGCTGCGCTGCTGTCTGTGTGTATGCTGATGTTGGTGCGAACTTCAAATGCTTCCGTGGTAAAGTTGCTGATGTAAAGACTCTCCTGTGCTACGGTACGAACCGACTCTGCTGGTGAAAGTGCTATTGTTGCTTGTGTTCTGCTTCCAGAGTGCTTTGCTGCCCCAAAGAAGTGTATCTCAAATCCTGATGCACTCTTTCTTGTTGTCTCGCATGATGCCCAGTTGGCATCTGCGCATGTGTCGATGTTGAGTGGGGTTCGCTTGTCCTGAGTCTGTATCTTTGGTCGTAGGTTGTATGAAACGTACGCTGTGCCTTGGAGGTGCCTTGTCATTTGCTCGAGTGTCAAACACTGTTGGTGCTTGTAGTGACCTTGCTAGTGGTTTTGCTCCGTAGCTGATGTCCCCATTCGGCAGGTGAGTTGTTACACACTGGTCGTGTGTATGCTAGCCACTTTCATGTGTGACACTCCTGTTGGTGCTGGGTTGCATGTAGTCGTTCCTGATTCTTCCAGGATGGCAAGCAAAAAGGAGCCTGGCTCAATGTTTGGGGTTCCTCCCGTTTTGAGACATGCGTTTGGGGGTCTTGAAGGTTCCCTTGCCGCTTGGGAGCCCGACTCCTTCAACTCCTGCTCAGTGGGACACGCAGAACTTTTTCTGTACTTCTTCTTCCGCTTCCTGAGCCAAAGACTGTGTGCGGCGTGCGTGTATGTGTGTTGAACCGTGACGTGTCGGCAAGAGCTCTACTAGCAGTTA